GACTTCGCAGACACCTTTCTGTCCAGACTTTTTAATCCTTGAATTGTATTTTCTGACAGAAATTAATTTTAATTTCCTGAAATGCAGTAGATATTTGGGTAATAGAAGGTCCTTTATGGTTGCTAATTTGTACTCTCTCTTTGGGATTTTAGTCTGTTATAGAAAGTCACCATGATCCCCAGCAAACTGCCTCACTTAACCCTTGATCCTAAGCATGACTTGGGTATTACCCTCTTGGTCAGTGACAGCCTCTGAAATGGTGGAATATCCACACATGCTGAATAAGGAAGAACCACAATGAGTGCTTGAAATCGAAGAACCCCGACTCTACTCTTTTTTTATTTAAATTGTCCTCTATTTAAATCAAATGTCCTCAAATTGTCATATTCTTGGTCATCTTCCAATTATCTGTGATCCCATTGTGAAAGATAAAGCTCCCACTGGTAAAATATTCCCACTTCCACATGGACCAGACCAGAGCAGCAGAAGAAATCCTTCAGAATGTTCTGAGCTTCTTCCAGGATCTCCTCTTAAAGAGAATATATATCTAGAAAAACTTCAAATGGACCAATCCAGTAGACCTCCTGATCAGAAGAACTTCCCCAGCTGAGTCACTTTAATATTGAGGAGACCCAGATCTACTCTGAGTTACCTTTAGTCTGCAGAGAAAGTTTATTTCTGCTGCTTGTATGCAGGATATGGGTATTTCAGTACTGATCCTTAGAGTTGGACCAATAAATGAATGCTTTCAGTTTCAGTTCCTCAAAAATTGGCGTTTCTTCTCTGCCTACCCATTGTCTGCTACACCCTACCTTCTCTTAGTCTCTTTACTTTAGTCAAAGAATAAAATCTTATTTGATTTACCTCTTGACTTGTGGTGGAACATAAAGGTTTTCCTGGTAGTTTTAGGTTTGTGTTCGACTCTTCCTGTCTGGTGTGAATGAATTAAGATGCTTTTCTCAGACAGCCTTACTTGGCCTTGTTAGGACCTTGTTTTGTGTCGGTCTTCGATCCAAGGATTTAGGGGAACCGCAGATCAGACCTTAACGGACATAAACCGGAATGTAGAAGACTTGGATTGTATGGTTGTTCCAACAAAGATGTACCACAGTAAAAACTTAAACCTAAATAAATGCATTTTCTTCCTGCTCTATAAGGCAGACACATTGGCCGTTTCTCAATCTGTGTACTTGTGCGTTCTCGTGTGCTCGTGAAACGTCATCAGCCTCAGCCCTAGTACTTTTCCAATTCACAAGAACAGCAGACCAAGAACAGATAAAGTGCCCAGATGTTGCTCTCGCCCCTCCCTCTTTACCCAGCATGCATCAGAGCAGACTTTCTTCTTTCTTTTCTTTTTTTTGTAGCTTTTACGGCACTAGTGTCTCGTTTTTTCAACAGTAGGCTGACAGGAAAGGGGAGAGGGAGAGACATGCAGGAAAGGACCACAAGTCGGATTTGACCCCCATCGCCCGCGTTGAGGACTCCGTATATATAAGCACTGCATCACCTGCCATCAGAGCAGACTGGTCCGTTCTTGAGATTGACAGCTGTCCTAATGCTAAATGTTCTCTTTTCTGTTGCCGTTGTTCAATAAAAGTAAGTTTTAAGATCTTTTGAGGTGAGAGCATTATACTTTTAAGCATCACTATATGGTCCATTTAAAAGAAAAATTAGATGTTGAGAGGACCGCGGAAACCAGTGGACCTCCGAAGCTAATGGGAGCCATAGCTGACATTAATCCGTCTGCAGCAGCATAGCCGTGTGTGAAGTACCGCTGGCTCTGATTGCGATTTTAATTTGTTTTATTTGGCAAAATATTAATTTGATTTGTGTGTATCTGACTGTATGAATTATTATTCCCTCCAAAAATGAAAAAAGTAAGAATCTATAATTATCTAGAGACTATTAATAACAGGAGGTGAAATGCAGCTCTAGACGAGGTGAGCGTGTGGTGATGTCACGAGTACGCTTCTGTTCCTATTGACCCATATTTATGCTGAGTGCTCCCGTTCTCCCAGAGTACAAACTTTCCTGTGTTCCTCTCAAGAACAAACTTGGCGAGGACACAAGTCCGTACTCGCGTTCTTGTGAATTGAGAAACGGCCATTAGCTGTGAATTCACCACTGATTCTACCAGTTTCACTCATGCGTTCCATTTTGATGGTACTGCCACCTATAGGTTTGGAGGTTCCTGTCCTTATTCTGGCTATTATTCCCTCCTTCAGTTTCACAGAACGCCCCTCCCCCTGACTCTCCAGTGCAGATTGTACCACAGTCCATACATACCCCGCCCTCAGAAAAGACCAGAAGAGCCCCCCCACCAACACCGCCAAAACCCAGGCGACCAAGTTAGTACAGAGCTTGGGATGATGGGGTTGTGACTGGATTCTGCCTGCGCTCGCCTCACCTGTTCCTTTCAGTCTGAGCTCCGAACCTCTCTGCCTCGGCCCAGTGGGCGGTTCTCCACAGCTTTCACCGCATGTGCCGGCACTGCTTCATCCTGAGCTGCCTCTTCTTTTTCTACAGAAACAGAGTGAATGTGGATGTTTGGAGCCCCCCATGGGCGAACGGCTGGTTTAGCTTTTAACATCATTAATGTCTTTTATCTACCTCTGCAGGAAATAATGATACAGATTCTGGACAAAATCTCAAGGTTAGATCATTATCTGAGTTAATAACCAGCACTGTAAACCGTAACCTAGCCTGGATTAGTTAAACCTGCTTCACTGTTCAGATCAATGGTTCAATTCAATTCGGTTTAGTTGGCACCAATTCACAACACATGTAATCTCAAGGCACTTTACAGTTCAGCAGCTCATACTCATACTCAAATTGATTCAAAGTTTTCTATCTAACAAAAAACAGTTGATTGCATCGACTCATTGACTCAAATGCAATCCCTCACACTAAGCATGCTTGTAGTGACAGTGGAGAGGAAAAACTCCCTTTTAACAGGAAGAAACCTCCAGCAGAACCAGGCTCAGTGTGAGCAGCCTCACAGACTAAAACTATTTGGTTCCACAGGAGAGGAGCCTGATAACTAAAAGATCTGCCTCCCATTCCATTTTTAGAAATTCTAGGAACCACTATGAGACTCCACTTTGGTTCTTTGTATTCTTTTGATATTGAGACATCATTGTTTTTATAGTACATCCGATTCATTATCATATGTAAAATAACAAAGGTGAAAAAATCCATATCTACGTAATGTAATTGTAATGTCAGATTGTTTCTGTGAATTAAATGTAATCCAGGCGAGCTTAGTTTAGAATCTGTTTCAACATCTGAAGACGGCAGCAGTTCTCAGGTTATCATGAAGCATCTGATACCTAAAGCTGCTGAGAGCAAGGGAATGGGACATCATAATGAAATCATGGTAAACCTTCACTCAGCCACACAGCTTGGATGTTGGTTTGAGTTCCTAATGAATCAGTTCGTTAAAACATGACAAAAGGTTCTGTTTATCGGACCAGCTTTGTCATTTCATTATGTCTGATTAACCTTCATTAAAAGCAGAACAATAACAGATTAAAACTGGCTTCATTCTTCTTTGGAGAATCTTCATTCACCATCGGCATCATCATCCTCATCAAGCAGCCGATTCTCTCCTCCCCTCTGCATTGCTAATTCTTTTTTCTGCAGCTAACTCTCATTTTAAGCCTTTCAATCTAAATGCATCTCGCTGAGACCTGTCATTTCTAACATTTCAGATCATTTCCAGAACCTTCACATCCAAACCCTTTGGTCCCACGTTGTCCTCTCTGTTTCAGCTTCATTAAACTGCTGCCTCTATCAGCAGCTCACTAACTGAAGCTCCTGCAGCTCTAAAAGTCTCAAATGAAATGTTGTAAAACAGTTAACTGGATGGAGTTGTTAAGGTTGTATTCTAACCAGCAACCTGTTTCCCTGTGGTTCTGACAGCCTGCAACCCGAATGCCTGCAGAGCCTCGGGTCGAGGTCTGCAGCAGAAGGGCCTGAGGGTGAAGGAAGTGGCCGATTTCAAAGTGTATACTAAAGGAGGCGGCAGCGGGGAGCTCAAAGTCACCGTGAAGGGGCCCAGTAAGACACCAGGAATCCAACATGCAAAAAAACCAAAACAAAACTCATCACATACAAATTAAATTACATTAATTTGAGTTAAAATTATTTTTTCATGATGTCTTTATAATTATTGAATAATTATGTTTTTTTTTTCTTGGGTTTTTATTCCCCACATTTTTTGTTTTTTAAAAGGATATATTGAACCTCATTCAAACAGTTTCAAACGTTTTAAAAAGGATTTCACAAATTTAGCATTTCTCTAAATCCTTATTTACAAAAAAAATTCTGCAAAAAACATTTATGAATTCACAAAAAAAATTTAAAATATAAAAAAAGTCTTTAGTTTCTGTATAAATAAGCTGAACTGCACATATAAATCAAACTCTGTATTTATATCTGTAGCTTTTTTGGTATTTCTTTTCAGGATGGCAAACATCATCATAGATTGATAAAAAGCTGTTAATAACACACATTTTGAACGCATCCGTCTATGTTCTCTTTGGTTTAATCCCAGTTAATCTAAGCTGGACTGTCAGATTTTTTAAGCCTTCCTTGAAAGCAGTTTGTCATGAAGAGCTTCACTGATTCTGATTGTGTTTGATTCTTCCCCAGAGGGCCGTGAGGAACCTGTGAAGGTGCTGGAGATGGAAAACGGCATTTATGAATGTAATTATTACCCAATCATGACAGGGAAATACATCATAATTATCACATGGGGAGGACACAGCATTCCCCGCAGGTGAGATTTTTACACTCTACATTGTTCTTATATATGGATGCCAGTAAAGGAAGGTCTGGCTGTTGTTGTCTTTTTCAGGGTATTGAATATGTTGTAATGTCATGTACTGAACTGTAACTATTTTACAATGGTTCCTCTTCCATTTTACAATAGTCCTCCAGCGAGGATTCAAACCTTTTTTTTGCCTTGTCTGTTTGTGCATCTTCAGCCCATTTGAGGTACATGTAAGTGAGGAGGCGGGACCTCAGAAGGTGAGGGCCTGGGGTCCAGGTCTGGAGACCGGTATGGTGGGGAAGAGCGCAGACTTTGTGGTGGAGGCAATCGGCACAGAAGTGGGAACTCTCGGTACGTTACATTTCAGACCAGTTGCATTTAAAGTAGTGGTGGGCATAGATTATTTTTTAATCTAGATTAATCTCACTGTAATCCTGGAATTAATCTTGTTTTATACCGGCTCATTTGAATTCTACCAAAGGGCTTCATGAATCAGAATCAGTCTCAGAATTCAGAGAATCTCAGTTTAATCAAGTCGGAGCTTTTCACACCAAAATCTGTCTGGGTAAGGATTTCAAAGACGTTTAATGTTATTAAGTTATTTGGGCTGGAAGTACTTCTTCTTCCTAGCTCTGAAACCATTTTAAAACTCACCTTAAACTGCTCCATTTGACACTTGAACCATCAGTTTAGTTTAATTGATCATCTTTTACATTCTATAACCAAGCACTTCTGCAAACTGTAATAAATAAATTTTATTTCCACTTCTTAGAAAAACTCAAAGCTGCCAAGTAAATACTTATTAAGGTAGTATCCTTTTTGCTCTGGATCGTTGAAGTGGTGGCCTAGTGTTTACATCCAGAAGAGACTGCAAAGTTTACTGGTTTGAAACCCAGACTGTCACTCCAAGTCTCTGAGCAAGACCCTCAGTGTCACAGTGGTCCCCCAGTGGCACCCAGTGAGGGAGAACAATCCAACCTAAGGGATGGGGTAAATGCAGAGGACAGTTTCCTCCCTGTTGGACTATGAAGGGTTATTTTCCTTCCTTATGAGACTCTGCAGTCATGGAGCCACTATGCTCTAAGTTCTTACCAGTGAGGTTTGTCCTGCTGCTCTTCGATCCCAAAGCTGTGCTCCTGCACCCCACCACTATAAACACCACTACCTAACTGCACCCTAAGATGGCATCAAGACATGTGCTACCACCCGAAACACCATAGAAGCACCATACGTAGCCTGGCCATGAACCAGACATGCCTAATTCTTCATTACCAATGCAGGCATCATAGATACAAAGATATGGCTTCCCCTATTCACAAAGGACTAAGGTATACCACTCCAAACACTCTGTGGTCTACTCTGCGCTCTTGGGGAGCCTACTGTATCTTTTAGAAACTTGGAATACCTTTCAGAGATCCTGCATTATCATCATGTTCTGGTTATGTTTTCCTGTTTACATCAAGTGTGATGAGGGTGAGGACTGTTAAAAAGCTGCAATGATCCCCTCAGATTCTTTCTAGCCTAATGATGCAATGGTTGCATTGGTTTGATAAAATGAATAGGCTTGGTGTTCTTAATGGAATAGTACACCCAAAACATGATTAGCCTTCATTTTCTACTCAC